GAGATTAATTTAGAAGGAATACTGTATGTGTAATTCAGCTTGGGCTTTCCCCTAAATGCAAGGCCATGTGTAATATTTTCCCTAAAACTAGAATATATTAATGCATGTTTTGAGAATTTTAAAGCACCATGGTCAAAACCAGAAGCTATATTTTGCATATTTGGACTCAGCCATCCATTAAGAACCTATGTTGTCCTCTGGATATATTTATCAAAATAATTTGGTTTTGAATAGTATAAAATAGAAAATTTGCGATCTGTATAATTTATGTATAACCTTCATTATTGTAAATTTAATGGGAAGTGCATCACAATTATGATTTTTTTTTGCACCAGTGAAACAATAAAGTTGCTATTAACAATTCTTGTATCTTTTTTTCCCCTTTTTACAGTCTTGATTGATTAAAAGAACTAGTAGAATGCCTGTGGAGTTTCATACATCTCATGTTTACAATGAGCTCTGGCTTACAAAATTATGGAGCAAGGCACCTTGTACTCTTTCATTTATGTTGCTGCTGAACCTTTTCCCCAGCCTTACCCTGCTTTTCCTAAGGCACCAAGAGTCATGTAACTCCCCAAAGGCTCATCACATGTATTAGCTATCTACTTTGTAACAATTTTCCCTAAACCTAGTGTCTTCAAACAACAAATATTTATCTCATAGTTCTCAGTATCAGGAATTTAGAAGCAGCTTAGCTGGTGGTCCTGGATCAAGGTGTCTTATAAGATTACCATCAAGATTTTGACTGTGGCTGCCATCATCCAAAGGTTTGGTAAAGTCTGATTTCTAAGCTCTTTTACTTCATTCACTCACATGGTTGATAGAAGCTTCATTTCCTCTCATTTTGGGCTTTTCCATAGGGCAGCTTCAATGTCTTTATAAGTTGGTGGCTGGCCTTCCCAGAGTGATTCCATAGAGAAAGAGCAAGGAGGAAATGACAGTGTCCTTTTATGATCTAATCTCGGAAATGACATGTTGTTGTTTTTTTGCCTTATGAAGGCCATTAAGGCAATACTAGAGGATAAAGGGAATTAAGCTCCACCTCTTAAAGGGAGACATTGCAATTAATTGATAAAGATTTTCAACTTACCACAACATTCAGCACCTTACCATCTGCCCTTCCATTGCCAGATGTCTAGAACTTGTTTGATTTTACAAATCAGAACAAATGTTTACTAAATTATAAAATTAGAAGTTAACAACTATGTTAAGCTTTCCTGTAGTACATCTTGGTCCAGCAAACCTTTTCTGTTCTTCGCAGTGTTAGTTTACAGTGTTAAATTATAGTATTAATTACATTGCATACTGTAAATTAAATTAATTAACACTGTATAATAGGGACTGTGAATTAGGGATAGATGTGTCCATTTTACTTGTATCTTCATTGTAATGTATCTGGAAAGGTAAAACAGACATAATTCAATACCTGAATTTGAACTCATTTGGAAAAGATGGGTCAAAGTTAAACTAATGTCAGTATAGGGTATAAACTTTTGATTTTCTGGGTTGACATAAAGAGACCAGATTTAAAGAAGGAAAAAAAAAAAAAAAAACCAAAGCATTGCTAATATTTTTAATTTATATGTTTCTTTATTGAAAAAAATGAAGTACCTACCATATGCCAGATATAGTTAGGCACTGAATTTAAGGGTGAACATGATATGGTCTACAGATTAAACAATTTTAGTCTGGTATGAAGACAGATTTATAGTGACAGAATAGCACTGAAGAAGGACTTGGGGGTTGGGGGGTTGGGTGAGTTCTGGAGAGTGTTGTATGGACTTCCCATTACCTCTTGTGAAGTGAATGCCCAACTTCCAGTCCTATTTATAATAGCTAGAGCTAGGCATTTAAAAGAGTAACCCATAGAAGTTGCCTATGCGCAATGAGATAAATATTGCAAAATTGAAGAGACATTTAAAAACTTTTATAGCTCTTTGATGATTTTCTCTCTGTAGAGTGTAAGTATAGAAAGTTTGTGTTTTTAATTTTTATTTCTGGCACTATGGGTTTAATCCCAGGGCCTTGCACATGCTGGGCAAGTGCTCCATCCCTGAGCTACATCCTCAACCAACATAAGCCATCTTTTTTTTTTTTTCCCCTTGAGACAGGGTCTTGCTAAGTTGCTCGGGCTGGCCTCAAACTTGGAATCCTCCTGTCTCAGCCTCCTGGGAAGCTGGAATTAGAAGTGGGTGTGCATTACCACACCTGGCTATTTTATGTCTATCTCCCTTTTCTAATAATATTTACTACATCTTACATAAAAAATACCTGTCCTTAATGGATGTGGGGGAAATCCTTTACAGATGGATAGAAGCACAGAACAGAGGAGAACTGGTGCTGAATGGCATTAAATCCCCAAGATGAGGAGATAGTCACTAGAGGCCACATCTAGGAAGATGATATGAATGGATGAGCAATGCCTCTTGTGACAGCACTTTCCTGACCTCCTTTTCCTGTCTCCAGTCAGCAAACCAATGATTAGAGTCTAAGCAAAAAGTGTGTTGCTTTTTTTTTTTTTTTTTTTGGTACCTGGGATTGAACCCAGTACACTTACCACTGAGCCACATCCCCAGCCTTTTTCTATATTTATTTAGAGACACAGTCTCATCAAGTTGCTGAGATTGGTTTTGAACTTGCAATCCTCTTGCCTCAGCCTCCCCAGGTGCTGGGATTACATATGTGTGCCACTGTGCCTGACTAGCAATTGCTTCTTTACATGGAAATTCATGTTTCTGATTGTTCCCCAAGCCCTGAGACTGGTGGCCATTAGGTGAGTGAACTGTAACACAACTCTGGCCATTAATGACTTTGCATAGATTGTAAGCTTATCCGAACAACTAAAAGAGGAAGGAAGGAGGCATTTAACTTGATGAGGCATGGTAGAATAATTTGAAGAATGGTGAGCAGTTGTAGAACAGTTCATGTGCAATTCTCAGAGCCACTGAGAAATATGAGAGACCATAAGGAATAAGCTAACCATCATAGGCAATGGGAGGGGATTTAACTTGATTTTGTAGGGGTTTTCCATTACATTTGCTATCTCTGTGAACCTAAGGTAATTATATCAAGCAGAATCGATTTGAAAGGATTTTTCAACAAAATTTTCTTTAATGATGGGAATTCCAGACTACATATTGTCCATGAAAGGTTCTGGGTGGAGAAATCTCTGGAGAAGGATGCCTTCCTGTTTGCTAGGGTTGGCCCTATGGGGGTGCCCTGGGGATGGACAGCAGACCACATTTCAGGTGCCACTATCTACACATTTGCTGCACACTTCAGTTACCTATGTTAAAGACAAGCTTCCCAGCTTGTGTTAATTTAAAACAAGTCATCTGGAAGTGGGGTGGTCTAGATCTCGTATTGCTGTTCACTTCTCTATGTTACCAGCAGTGTACCAACAAAACTAGGCCAATGCTTCCAAAATCTCTAGAGACTGTTTTACCACTCATTACAGTGTTTAATTAGCTTAAGGACAGAAATGTCTTCCTATGACTAAGCATTAAGTTGTAACTTAAATCCATTTTCACTCATCAGAAAGAACCAAGTACAAATACAAAGAAACTGTGAAGCTGGGTATGGTGGCTCACACCTGTAATTCCAGAAGCTCAGAAGGCTGAGGCAGGAGGATTACGTTTGAGGAAACGTTAAAAGAACTGGGGATATATATCAATGGTAAAGTACCACTAGGTTCAATTCCAGTACCCAAACAAACAAACCCTTTGGAGGCTTCATGGCCACTAGGTATAATATCTAGCATTTGAGAACTTTTTTTTTTAATTAAAACTGTTTTGGTGGTGGTCTAGGGATCAAACCCAGGGCTTTGTCCATGCTAGGCAAGGACTCCACCACTGAGTCATATTCCTAGTTAATCTCTTGCATTTGCATTTATCTGGTATGTTTTTATAAAGGTAAGCTATGAAACCTAGTATATTCTGTAAAACTAGGTTCTATCCTTTTTCATGTCTTGTCTTTATTTATATACACAAAAGTGATGAAATACTCTCGTATACTACTTCAAACAAAAGTTGCATATTTAAACTGGTTAGCCTTATCAACAAGTAAAATATATTGATAGGATAGTGTGTGAAAATTTGGTAAAATTAACAAACTTAAGCCTCAGTAATTTTAAGCCTTAGGTAGGATGACTCCACAGGAGATAGGTATTACAAAAACATTTTTTTCTTAACCATTTTTATCCTTTTACACATTCCTAGGATCAATGCTTCTCAAACTTTATTAAACATATAGATCAATCAGGGAGCTTGTTAAAAATGCAGATTCTGGGATTCAGCAGGTCTGGGGTACAGCCGGAGAATTCTAATAAACTCTCAGGTAATCCCCATGCTGCTGATCCAGAGAGCAAAATTTTTTTTTTTTAAATTGTAGTTTGAGTACAACCAGAGATACGAAAAATTGTGCTCTATATGTGTAATGCATTCTGCTCTCATATATAACAAATTAAAATTAAAAAAAGAAAAAAGTGATAATATTTTGTTATGCCAAAAACATAAATAGTATGCTATAGCTTTTTAAAAATCCAGATTGGTAATAATAAAACTAAAATTTTAATTTGTGCCACACACACACAAACAAAATTTTTTAACCTTTGTTTTACTTATTTATTTATATGTGGTACTGAAGCTCAAACTCAGTGCCTCATACATGCTAGGCAAGTGCTCTACCACTGAGCTACAATCCCACTCCGGGACAGCGATTTTTGAATTAACAAAGCCCTACCTGGCTTGCATGAAGCCCTGGGTTAGAGACTGCAAAACTAAACATCCCCCCCGCCGCCAGACAAAGCCCTTGATGACAATTTCATAGACAATATTTAAAAAATTTTTGGAGGAACTTGTTTCATTTGTTATATGGATTCCTTGTTTCCTTGTGGCAAAGACCCAGGTGGAGTGGATAGCAGTGGCTTAGGAAAGTGTTTGTGGTTGCCTCTCCTTCGTGGAGTGTAGGGGTTAGGTAACCTGGCACAAGAGATATTTCTGTCACATGTACATATGAGGGTGGATCTTGGCCTTTCCAGGGCACAGCAGTTTGATAAACGCTTTTCTGAAACTCACGTGGCAGAGTGGGTACAGAATAGGGTTGATAGCGGAATTCAGCCAGAGGAGCCAGAAGGATGTCTCATAGAGGGAGTGCTGGATGCACGTCCCATGACAGGCTGCTCGGATGATCATGAACAAAGTGTAGGGAGCCCAGCACAGGCCAAATACACACACAATGATGGCCAATGACTTGGCCAATCGCTTATCCCGGGAAAGCCGGAGGCGACTGGCCACAGTGTTGGCAAGGTCTGCCTGCCTTTCAGCATTGCAGATGCTTTCGCTGGGCCTGTAGTGGCTCTGCCGACGCCGTGCTGCTTTGGTTCTGAGGTCTAACTGCAGAGGCGGTAAATCTTGAGTCCCAGGCACATCCAAGGAAACACTGTTTTGCTTGGTAGAGAGGCCCTGGTCTTTCCTTTTCTTGCTTCTCCTTTCAGTGGGTTTAACAAAAAATATGATGTGCTTCTTTTTTCTCCCCTGGAAGTTCATCTCCAAGCCATCTTGGCTGGGGACAGTGTAGTCATTCCTCAGAGAGTTGCGCTTCTGAATGTTGATATAGATGCTCAAGTTGAAGTAAGTGACACTGACAAAAGGTGTGAAGAATTCGATGATGGAGGCCGTCATGAGGAAGTACCAATTGTAGAAGAACTCAGCATAGCACTCCCCCCGGGGCAGGATGCTTCTTTTGGCCACATACTCCCAGCTGATGATGGCAGGCCCATAGAGGAGGAATGCTGCCACCCACACCAGTGCCATCTTGAAGACAGCATTCCTGGTCATGCCCTTCTGAGCCCTGTAAGTCACCTAGAAGGAAACAATAGAGACCAGTGAGGGAGTGGTGAGGCAGCTTTACTCACTCAGTCTGGTACAGTGAGATGTCGTGAGGCTGTAGATTAGTTGTGAACATGACCAGTGTCTGGGGGATAAGGGGGTTTTATTTCTGCATCAGCCAACTCTTTCCAGATGTACTATGCCACTTCACCTTGCAATAGGTGAAGAGCTTTCCTCGTAGGAAGATGGTCAAGGTCTGTCTCTTTGAACATTAGTATTACTCTCTCACATGTGGAAACATATGTCTTCAATACCATCCAGAATATTTATAAGTGAAATCACTGGTGAATTCATAGTGTTCTGCAACTGAGCTATTGTACTTCCTTTTCCAACTTTTAAACAATCTCATAACTTTGTGACATACGTATATGGGTGTGTGTGTGTGTGTGTGTATTTTTTCTGGGAATTGAAACCAGGGGTATCCTTTTTATTTTTTGAGACAGGATCTTGCTAACGGCTAAGGCTGGCATCAATGTGTAACCGATGTGATTCTGCAACTTGTATTTGGGGTAAAAAATGGGAGTTCATAACCCACTTGAATCAAATGTATGGAAGATGATATGTCATGAGCTTTGTAATGTTTTGAACAACCAATAAAAAAAAAAAAATCCTCAAAAAAAAAAAAAAGTTGCAATCCTGCCTCTGCCTCTGGAGCCACTGTGATTACAGGCGTGCACCACCTGGCTCATTCCACATTTTTACTCATGACCCATTTAGTCTCCCCTGCAGTTCCTGGAGGTGGCTCTATGTCTCAATGACCAAGAGCAGAGTCTGGAGTCAACCAACTTGGATTCAAATGCTGTCACTTGGAGAGCTGTTTGTTCTAGGCAATTTACTTAACCTCTATGTGTCTCAGTTTCTTCAAATGTAAAATCGGGCAGTATTTTTCCCTAGACTATAGGATTTTCATGACCCAATGCATGTCAAGCGCTTGAATATAATTCAGATAAAGTTCTTAGAACAGTGTCTGGCTTAAAATAAAACCCTAAATATTAGTTAACATTATCATTGGGTGTAAAAATACCTGCAAAGGCAGGAGCATGAAATAAAAAATTTTGATCTTTGGTTTGCAGAAAATGTTATGAGAAGGTGAGAGCCAACTGGGGAAATGAAAGGTGCTTTGAAGATGTGGGAGATTGAAGTTTTCCCCCAACTGCGCTGCCACGCTGCAGACACTTCTGAAGTGTGTCACTGGAGCAAAACACTTGGCTTTCTATATGGGTCAGTGCAAAATATTTAATACTATTAGGCAGTTTCACTTCCTATACCTGTAATATGCACAAGCCTTGCACTGAGAGCAAAGGGAAACTAATTACCAAGAGAGGATCTCAAGGGAGTGAACCCAAGTGATGTGTTCCTGGAAAGTTAGAAAATGCCACTTTGGGCAATATTTATACTTAGGAAATTATTTTAGCCAAATACAGTGGGAACAGAAGAAGCAATAGTAGGAATGGGAGACAAGAAAGAGCTGGGCTGGAACAATCATGAAAGCCAGTGGTTTTTATTCTCAGCTGTGCCTTATAACCACCCAAAGCTATTTTTAAAAAATGCCAATACCTGAACCCTCCTCAAAGCCAATTCAATTAAAAAATAGATTGAGAACTGCAGCAATAAATGAAGCAAATTGCGTGGGTGCCATAGTGAGGACTTGGAGATGGGGGGCTGGGGGATAAGGGGATGAAAGCATGGAGGGTGGATTTCTTAGACCATGATGAGGCATTGTAGGTATTGAGAAGCCCAGAGCTTGTTTCTGTGTTCTAATTTTTCTGTAGTGAGCATGGATTACTTATATAAAAGATAAAAGTTTTTTTTTTTAGTTCAAAGGAAAGTTCCTGTTCACTTCTATCTCATTTAATACTCACCTCTGCCCTTGCTGATTAATTTATATGAGTCTTATCATACCATCTGCAAAATGGGGGTAAACTTTAGTTTCTACTTATCTTCCAGGGAAGAAAGGACCATATGAATTAGCCATCATAGAAACTGGAGTCAAAAGGCTTTTAACCCCTCATTTTCTGATAGGAAAAGAGACAAGAGGTACAAGGATGTGCTCAAGGTCACACATTGTGGAAGTGTAAGATTGGAACTCAGCTCTCCTGACTCCTGAGTCAGCCTAAAAATTTAGCACTGTGATGAGTGAATTTACACTTGTGATTGCTCATGTGAACCCATTCTGTTGCTGTTAGCCCTTAAAACACTGAGGTAGCAAGTGGACCCTCTCCACCTAGCACTGTTCTGGGGGAGACAGTCATTAACAATTAACTGGTGAGGGCAAGAAGCCTCTTTAGCACGCATATCCTTTTCTACTGGGCCTTGAACTTGGACTTTTGATCTTATCTCCAGTTGAGGTTACTTAATCAGAATTTTTTTTTGGGGGGGGGGCCTGTACTGGGGTTTGAACTCAGGGCACTCAACCACTGAGTCACATCCCCAGCCCTATTTTGTATTTCATTTAGAGACAGGGTCTCATTGAGTTGCTTAGGGCCTCACTTTTGCTGAGGCTGGCTTTGAACTTGTGATCCTCCTGCCTCACCCTCTGGTGCCACTGGGATTATGGGTGTGTGCCACAGCTTCTGGTACTTAATTAGAATTATATCCGAAAATATGTCTAGTATTGTTTCTGGCTTTGGAAACACAGGGCTGAGAAACAGCTCTGCCTCTTCTGGGAACTTAGTTTGTGAGACAGACAGACCTAATAGAATGTCAGGTGGTGATAAGCCTGAGTATAGTAGGGAAGAAGGAAGAGAGTGTCAGCGCTGCTATTTGAAGAGGATAACCAAGGAGGAGCAGACAGCTGAACAGGGGCCTGTGTGAACTCAAAGTGAGTCTATGTACAGAAAGAGGACACTGACTGGGAGGAAAGATAAAGGTGCCATAACAGGACTTAAGATTTCCATCCCATTTTCTGACAACATTCATAACCACATCTGTATTATACCATGTGATTATAAAAATAAATCCTGAGAAAGGCGCAATTAAGTTGTATGTGTTTTTTGTTTGTTTGTTTGTGTTAGCCTGGATCTTGCTCTGTTGCCCAAGCTGACCTTGAACTCCTGGGCTCAAGTGGCCAGCCCCAGCTTCAGCCTTCCAAGCAGTTGGAACTACAGGTGCTCTACCACTGGGGCCCTGCACTGCATCTTCTTTGTCAAATTTAAGTATTAAAAACAGAAGACAGTATTTGTAATCGTGTCTTGGCATCTTTTTCTTTTTCCTTTTGGATAGTGGGGTCCTGAGAACACATGGAAGTGGTATGCAAGAGGTTTCAGCAACTCCAACCACCCAGCCTCCATCCACCTGGCCACCATCCCACCCCACCTCGTACAGGTCTAGGTCAAGTCTCCCTCCTACTTACCGCCCTGGTGACAGAGATGAACCTGTCGTAGCTGATGAGGACGATGTTGAATACCGAGGCGGTGCACACCAGGTAATCCGTCACCAGCCACAGTTTACACAGTCCCTTCCCGAACTTCCACTCTCCGGTCAGGATGTAGGGGATGTACAGTGGGATGCAGAAGCCGCCTGTGGGCGAAGCGAGGCGGTGAGCGAGCGAGGGTAAACAGCCTGGCGACCCGTTCTGGCCCTGTCTCCGTGTCCCACAGTGCCCCACTTCCCCAGGGAGATGTCTGAATGCTGGGATACCTCCTACCTCCTCCAGGGCACCTCCAGCCCCTGGGGCCACACTCACCCACCAGCAAGTCCGCGACGGCCAAGTTGAGGAAGAAGAAGTTGCTGCGGGAGCGCAGGCTGCGGTCCACAGCGAAGGCCACCACGACCAGCGCGTTGCCCAGCACCGTGGCCAGCGCCAGTAGCGCCATGAGCGCGGCCAGCAGCGCGGTCACCGGAGCAGAGAAGTGGTTGGCCTGCGGCCCAGGGCGCAGCCCCCGGCCCAGCCCGGGTCCCGGCCCGAGTCCCGGGGTGCAAGCATTCCCCGATGAGTTGGGCTCCATGCGGTGGCGCAGGGTCCGGGGCCGCCGCGGGGCAGGCCAGGGGAGCTGGGCAGGAGCGGCAGCCGGGACCCGTGGGAGGCTAGGGAAGTGCGGCAGGACAGCAGAGTGCGGCGGGGAGGAGGCGCGGGAGCCGCAGCCGGGGCGGGGCTAGAGGGGCCGGGAGCCCGTGCAGAAGTCCGAGCCCAGCAGCGGGTGCGGATCGGTCGGGTAGCGGGGGTCCTCAGAGGGGAGGGGTCCGAGAAGGGGCAGGCGGCAAGGGCCCGAGACCCTCGGGCTGGACCCTCAGCCTGAGAGCGCTCCTGGAAGCGAAGGCGGGAAGAGGTCTTGATTCTCTACTTAGCCACCTAGCGATCCTAGAGTCTCTGGAACAAAGTTGTTATTATTTCATTTCCCCCAATAGTAGTAATTTTGTTTTATTTCGATCATAAAAGCAACGCTTGCACTTGTAAAAAAGAAATCAAACGATATAGAAAGGCATAAAGTTGAAATGAAATTTCTTACAATAGTTTCTCAGAAATGCCCACTTGGACCGTTTTCGTGTAAGTCTTTCCAGGCTTCCGACCCCTTATAATTATTTTCTAACCCTCCCTTCTTCCAAAGAACTAGGCAGACCATTTAAAAAAAAAAAAAAAGATTTAAAAAAAAAAAGAATGAGGTTTGGCTGTCCTAATGTATAATCTGATTTTTCTCCCAAGAAAATAATAAATCTGAACATTTTCCTACATGTATATGGGATAGGGGTCACCACCGTTATCTTTAAAGTCTCTTTCTTTTTTTTTTTTTTTGTCCTTGCATGGATGAGAGTCTTGGACCACTAGCAGCTGTTTCTACGTTTTGATTGGTTTTGCTTGTGTATTTTTGCTCTATAATTTCCTCAGGAGAAATTCATTGAAGCAGAATCACTGGGACAAAGAGCGTGCAGCGTTACTAGGTTGCCCTCTGGAAAAATAGTTGCAATTTATAATTGAACCAGCCACTTGAAAAATTTTCACAGTCGATAGAGAGACTTCTGGGTTTTCCAGAGTTCCTTTTTCCTTAGCTGCTCCCTTTTGCTTCTCTAGCATAAAGAGTCTTTTCCTGTGAGAACTGGCTCAGCAAGAACTGTCAGAGCCATTTGGACAGCTTGATGGGGTTGGGGTGGGGAAGCAGCCTTTCCCCAGAGGAGTAATGGACCCTGGCGGGGGTCGCTTGGTGAAAGGCTGCATCTTAGCACTCTTGCCTCTGAATTGGAGCCAAATCTGCCAGTTGTCTCTTCCCTGTGACTTGGGAGTATGTGAGAAGTGGACTGTGAAGGGAGAATGTGACCAAATAACTCTCTGCTGCTGTATTGTCCTATAATTTGCCTCTTGCAGACCAGTTTGTTCCAGTGATGGGAAACGCAGCCCGACCTCATGGAAGCAAATTCTTGGACCACAGGGCAGGAATAACCCTCAGGGAACATTTATTGCTGTAACTCTCCGACTTTTTGAACCACAGCTCACAGCAGGGAGTACTGTTTTACATTGTAGCCCAGTGTGTACACGCTCCCCCACATGTCGCAGCATGCATTCATGTACACATTTCAGTAAAGGAAAAAGTTTAACTAAAACCCAACTTGTCTTTCATTTTCTGATACTGATACTGTCAGTTGTATCTTATGCCAGTTTTTTTTTTTTTTATGCTAGTTTTAATGCTGGACTTGGGTCCTTACATTTATATCATCATCCTCAACTGACTTTCAACCTGCATTTGAGGAATGCAGTAATCTAGTTGAACCCATTGAACCTGTTTGATGTATAAGAAAATGGGCAGAATGAGAAGACTCACCCAGGGATACACAAGGAATCCAGGCACAGCAGAGCTGGAACCAAGATCTTCTGCCTGTAAGAACAGAGCTCTTCTCTAGCTCCCAACTGATGCTAAGAGAGACATGGCCCGTCAGGAGATAACTGTCGCTCTTATGGGGCAATGACGCTTTCAAGGACTGAAAAACAACTGCAATGATTGAGGAAGTAAGAATCAGGCCAGCATTTATCTCTTTTCTTGTCTACTAATTGCCTCTTCATTTAGCCATAAAGACCCCCCCCTTTCCTTTGGTGCCACAGCTAATTGCTGCTAATTAGCAGCAATCACTGCTCACTCTCCTTTGGAGCTGGTGAAATGACACTTGCTAGAGTTGGTAGGCCCCTATGAGAGGGATTGAGGGTCCTCCCTAGGCAGGCTTTCCAGCTGAAGATTGCTCACCAGGAAAGCTGATGGCAGGTTAGATAGGGGACACAAACTGTACGGTCACTGTTGTCTGTATGTACAAAAACAGGGAAACAAAATCTGGCAGGCATACACCTCCCCCTCCCCAATAGCTGTTGAGTGGCTAGCGGGGGAATCAGCCTGAAGAGTCAAATCCTTGTTTGTTACGGACTGAATTATGTTACCTTCAGATTCTTATGTTGAAGCTCTAATCCCCCATCTCACTATTTGGAGATAGGGTTTGTTAAAGCAGTAACCAAGGTTGAACCAGGTCTTAGGAGTGGAGGCCTAATTGGCTAGGTCTGGTGTCCTTGTGAAAAGAGAGAGAGAGACCAAATTTCACTGCCCCTTCCAGGTGCGTACAGAGAAAGGGTCATGTGAGGACACAATGACAAAGCCAGGAAATTTACAAGCCAGAAAGAAAAACTAACCCTGAAGGCACCTTGATCTTGGACTTTTAGCTTCCTGAAACTGTAAGAAAATAAATTTCTGCTGTTTAAGCCCCTCAGTCTGTGGTGTTTTGTTATGGGCAATCAGAGCAGACTACTACATTGTTCCACCTCTTACCATGTGAGGAAAGGGAACTTTGTCCAAGACTTAACTTCTTTGGTCCTCCATTTCTTCATATGTAAGGGGGGATAATAGTAGTTCTAAGCTGGTCACGGTGGCATGGGCCTGTATTCTCGGCAGCAGGCTGAGGATTGCTTGAGCCCAGGAGTTTGAGACCAGCCTAGGCAAGAACCTAGCAAAATCCCATCTCAAAAAAAAAAAAAAAAAAAGTAGCTTCTACATCATATGCCTGTGGCAAGGATTCAGTGAATATGTAGAAAGTATATAGCATGTTACACAACACACAGTTAAGTGTTCAGTTCACAGGAGCTATAATGATTACTATTACCCACTTGGGGGAACTATTGCCAGGATACTTCAAATTCTTGGTCCATTTTCTTCCTCTGCTCAGCACATCTCAGCAGCCTCCCCCTGCTGGGTGTTCTCAGGAGCACAGATATTTTAAACTTGCCCAAGGGAGGCATAACTGAGAAACCAAATCTGCTATTAAAAAAAGAAAGAAAGAAAGAAAAATAAATCTTTGGATACATTTTTAAAGTGGAAGTAAAAACTATCATTACCATGGTTATTGTTGTTATTTGGTGTCTGGGTTTCTTCCTTTGCTGTGTGAAAGGGGCTGATTTTGCTTCCCCGTCAGGAGGTATAGTGCTGTTACATACATACTCAGAACAGAGGAGGCCACTTTACCCTGGGGCAGATCTGCCTTCTCCCTTCCCTGGGCTCCCACAGCACTTTGACCACCACATTAATCCTTAAACCAGTCCCTACTGCTGTTTCCTCTTTCCTGGGAGTGAAGTAAGACCATTGCTTTAAGAACCACAAGCTTGAGTGTGATCCTGGCTCTACTACTAACTTGGTAAATGTCCCTGAGCAAATTTCAGGACCTCTGAGACTCATTTAAACAGCCACCAAATGATGAGAAAAATAACTACTTTTTTGGTAAAGATTATTTGGCAATAGGGTCACATTGCATGACATGGAGCTTAAGTACACAGTAAATGATGGTAGCCTTTTATAGCCAATATGTCAGTGAGGTCTCTAGGCCTCATGAGTTGGAAATAAGATTACCTGAACCTTCCACACCTGGGAGAGACTTCCCTAAGATTCCTGAAAATTCACAGATCGTTATACATGGCAGAATTTAGTGTTATGGTTTGGATAGAAGGTGTGCCCCAAAAGATCCTGTGTTAATACAGGGATGTTTGGAGGTAAAGTGATTGGAATTTAAGAGCTGTAACCTAGTTGTTTCTTCCTAGTTTGAATGGACTAGCTGGCTGGTACTGTAAGCAGGCAGGTGTGGCTGGAGAAGGTGGGTCACTGTTGGGGGTGACCTGCTGCTCCTTACCCGCTTCCTCTTTCTTTCCTGGGCACCAGGAGGTGAGCTGCTTTCTTTTACCCTGTCTTTCCAACATGGTGCCCTGCTTCATCTTGGGCCCAGAGCAATAGTGGAAGCAAAAGCAACCGACTATATGGTTTCAGCACTCTTATAAAAATACAAATAACAGGGACAGAAGCAGACTTCAAACAGATCAGCAAGCTTTCCTTTATTCTGCAGTGGAGGCAATCAATCAGGCACCAGAGGGGCTCATTTTCTGAGTAGAAAAATGGCCACCAGTTACAGAAAGAGTTTGAGTTTTATAGTTACAATGAGGGTGAGTTAATCATTGGAGACTGAGGCAGAATGTGTTAGTTTGGACAGTCAGGAAAAAAGTTGTAAAAAGTCTGAAATTCATTTTCACTGGGAAAACAACAACTCAGTGTTCATTGATTATCTTCTTCCTCTGGGACCCAGTGTTACCCAGAGCTTCACTATTTGTTTTTCTCCTTCCAGGACTCATTAGCAATGGGAAAGGGCAAAAGTCCAGGGCCCAAGTCTGGGGCACCACATAGGGTGAAGGAGGCCACAAGAAGGGAGAAAAATACTCCAGATGAATTAAGAAACTCAATGTAAAAATGAACAAAAGTGTAAAAGACTGTTATAAGAAAAACAGTCTGAGTTATGTGTGATAGCTGTAATCCCAGCAACTTGAGGCAAGAGGATCACCAGATTGTGGCCAGCCTCAGCAACTTAGCAAGACCTGGTTTCAAAATTAAAAAAAAATAATAATAATAATAAAAAGGACTGGGGGAGAATGAAGATGGCGGGCCAGAGGGAGGCAGCATTCTGTGTCACTCCGTGATCCAGGTGTCATCTATTTTGAATAGTGCATCCCTGAAAGTGTTAGAGGACGTCTATACAGCTGCTCTCCACAGAAATCACCAGTGCTGTGACCCCATGCAGGGCTCCAGGCCTCAGCATTAGAGCAGGACTTCGGATTCCTGGCTCCTGACACCCAAAGCTCAAAGTTCCAGCAAATGCAGGGCTCACGAGCGCCTTAGCATCTCCCAGACTTTGCTCCGCCCCCACACAGGTCACTCAACTGCTACCTACCCACAGCACAATGCCATCACCCAGTTCCCTCCACCCCACCAGACACCCAGGCACTGGAAGCAGACTGCCTCCATCTTGGCTCACCTTCCACACCATATTTGGTGGGGTCAGCTCCCAGATTGGATCTCCAGCTGACCAGGAGAGGTCTTGGAACCCTACAAGAGCACTACCACCTATAGGGTAAAAACAATGACACCCTGGACCCAGAGAGCTGGAAAGGAAGACACACGAGCAACATGAAAAGACAATGGAAGAAAGTGCCCCAAACAAATCAAGACACCACATTATTAGAATCCTTTGCAGCCACAGAAGAAGAAATTACAGATAAGGAGTTCAGGATGAACATGGTTAAAATGTTCTGAAAACTCAAGGATGATATAAGAGAGCAAATACAGGCAGTGAAAGATCACTTTGACAAGGAGCTACATAAATAAATACAGGAGGCAAAAGATCACCTCAAGATGGAGATAGAGATTATAAAAAGAAAAAAAAAAAAACACCAGAAATCCTTGAAATGAAAGAAACAATAAACCAAATTAAAAGCTTAAATAAAAGCATCACCAACAGAGAAGATCTCTTGGAAGATAGAACATCAGACAATGAAAACACAGTATATAATCTTGAATGTAGACCACACAATGATAATGGTAAGAAACCATAAGCATAATATTCAAGAAATATGGGGTTGCATGAAAAGACCAAATTTAAGAGTTATTGGGATAGAGGAAGGCATAGAGGTCTGAACCAAAGAAATGAACAATCTATTAAATGAAATAATATCAGAAAACTTTCCAAACATGAAGAATGAATTGGAAATCCAAATTCAAGAAGCCTACAGGATGCTGAATGTAAAAAATCACAACAGATCCACACCAAGGCACATTATAATAAAAATGCCCAACATACAGAATAAGGAGAGAATTTTAAAAGCCACAAGAGAAAGGAATCAGATTACATATAGGTGAAAAGCAATTAGGATAATGGCAGATTTTTCAACACAGACCCTGAAAGCTAGAAGATCCTGGAACAACACATATCAAGCTCTGAAAGAAAATGGATGCTAACCAAGAATCTTATCCAGAAAAATTAAGCTTTAGATTTGATGATGAAATAAAAACCTTCCATGATAAACAACAGTCAAAAGAATTTATAGCTAGAAAACCAGCACTACAAAACATACTTGGAAAAATATTCCATGAAGAGGAAATGAAAAACAACAATGAAAATCAGCAGAGGGAGGTAGTACCCTAAAGGAAAAACTAATCAAAGAAGAAAATCAAATCAAGTTAAATAACAAAAATAAACAA